TTGAGCCACACCTGGATGCTTTTCAATCTGCCCTGCAACTGACTGTGTGGTTAGCTATCTTTGCCAGCTGGTCAGCTGTGGTTTGTGTTTGTGTGTCTTTCACTGCTTGCTAATTAGTAGTTACTGCTGTGTAGAATGAGCTTGTTGTAAATTTGATCTGAAGATCAGCTGCACCAAAGTCTGACACTGCAAAACCTCACACCTTCAAGCTGGCAACTCGCTGCAAAACCTCACACCTTCAAGCTGGCAACTCCATGCAAAACCTCACACCTTCAAGCTGGCAACTCCATGCAAAACCTCACACCTTCAAGCTGGCAACTCCATGCAAAACCTCACACCTTCAAGCTGGCAACTCCATGCAAAACCTCACACCTTCAAGCTGGCAACTCCATGCAAAACCTCACACCTTCAAGCTGGCAACTCCATGCAAAACCTCACACCTTCAAGCTGGCAACTCCCTGCAAAACCTCACACCTTCAAGCTGGCAACTCCATGCAAAACCTCACACCTTCAAGCTGGCAACCCCATGCAAAACCAGTGACCTGGCTCAGAATCCTTTTGTGCTTTTATGGGGTCCTTGCCATCTCTGGCATGGAAATGAATTAATAACTGACATAGCTTTTCTGGGCCTACTCCAAACAAAGCAGCAATTCTCTGTGACCAAGACAAACTGACAACTAATGTTTCCAACAACTGGTTTCAAACAGCCCCCAGCTGGAAAACATCATATTGTAGCAGCCAGCTGTAGGCTGTTGGCCAAAAGAGCTGTCCCTGCAAAACTGCAACTGATCAGCTTCTGTAATGAAGTACTGTACTCACCTGGCCCCAGCAATTCTGAAAACCAACGGCTTCTATGTAACTATGAAACACTGTATCAGGATAGCAAGCTAATTACTGATTCTTTCCAAAACTATCCCACTTGGCTAGGGCCAGCCATCTCAAGACCAGCTAACTCTATCTTCTCACCTTCTTGGCTGGGTTTCCCAGTAAGCTTGGAGCTTCTCCAACTCACTGATCTCAGACTTCAGCTTCCCTTCTGTCATCAGCTTTGGTGTCTCTGGCATCTGTGCAACTATACACCAATCCATCTTGAAGTGGCCAGCTTTGTGCCTGCAGCTGGCACCACTCAGTAAAAGAAACTTACAACCTAACCAACTGATGAAGCTACACAAAGGGAGTGAACACAACCCAAAACAATTGCAGCCAACTCAAATGCAAAAAAAAGAGTCTGAATAAATAACAGGGCGCATCAACACCTCTAACTTCTCAATGGTGGACTCCCACTCTGCCCCAGCCATGGACCATGGAGCAGCTTGCTGCACAAGCTCATCTGATGTTGCATCCTGCAAAGGGTCTTTGGCTCAGTGGAAAGAAAACTGATTAATGAACTAATAATTAAAGCAGTTGTGAGGCAGCTTGTTTATATTTATCTTTCCCTGCTTCTCTCCACCATTAAAAAACTGTTGCATGTAACATAACTTGCTTCAGGGCACTGGGTTGAACTGCACCACCTTCAACTCTGGCCGAATGGAGTTCAGCAAGGCGTTCTGCTCAGCCATGACATCTTTGAAGCTGATCGTGTCATCGGTCAACTTCTGAGCTGACTAGAACTGCTAATGGCCACTACCCCAAAGGCTACTGCTACTCAAAGCTAGTGCTAATTCCTACTAAACACCTAATTATATACCCCCCCCTTTAAAGTAAAATGTGGCTGAATTACAACCAAAGAAAGCTCATCACGAAGCCAAGAGTCTCTGAGAAACCTCTTCTCCCAAATGCAAATCTGCACCTGCAACTGTGCAGACCTCACTGCCAGGTCCCACTCTGCCACGTAGCTGGCTGCATCTGTGTGTGGGAGCTGCCCTGTATTGCAGCAACATACTTGTGAATGCTTTGGCACCTGACCAGTTTGAACCTCAGCTAACTGGCAACTGTGTAACTATTGAAAACGGACCCACCAAACAATCAACTGTGTCCACATCTGCTTGAACAACTTCTAAACCCAAGCTGGGCTACTCTCCTCCCAGTCTAGCATGAACTGGTACAGGTGCCTCTGCACATCTGTGTGACTTGCTGCATCTCGGTCAGCTCCTTAATTAGCTTGTGGCAAACTGCAAAACTGCTGCAAAACTGCAAAGCTAGTTGTGCTGAAATTGAAAACTTGCATGAAAAGCTACAAAGCTTTGCTAATGACATGCACAACTGCTCATCTCAGGCCAGACCAACTTGGTGGCACTGATCCAGCAGCTGTCCATCACTGTTGACAACTTGGAGTTCATCTCTCTCAAGATCTGCATGATGTAGGCTATGCTCGCAGCTAGCATCACCTAATTAGTGGCTTTGCAGTGGTCTAACAAATCAAACTGTTGACCAACTAAAGATGTGGAAAGAAAACCAGCTAAATTACACCAAGCAGCCTTTCCAATGTCCAACTGTGCCACCACCAGTGCCCCCTTGGACAAGACAACTGTGCGAGCATCTCCTGGGCTGCAGGGGGTTGGGCAATCTTTCTCAAACTTTCCCAAACTTTCCCAAAGAGAAGCTAAGTCAAGCTGGGGCTCTGTTGCTGAGAAACCCAACTGCCAGAGCTACAAGCCCAACTGCCACCTGTGTCCTCTTGGCCTTCATCTTGCTGATCAGCCCTGCCAGCCTGTCCATCTCTGCAACCTGAGATTGTCAACTGAACCCAAACAAATGCATGAAATCAGTGTAATTAACTCATGCTGAAAGGAAAACTAACCACCAACTGCTGTGGAAGCCCAGCAGCTATGCAAAGCTTGAAGCTGAAGCACAACTTGCTTGGAGAGCTGACAGCTGCTCCAAGCTCGCTTCTTCATGCTGGCTAATTACCTCATGCACACCTGCCTCAAACTCCTACCAACCCTCTCTCAAGCTGGCCAAACTCCAGCTGGCCAAAAAACCTCATGCAAACCTGCCTCAAACTCCTAATTTCCAAGCTGGCCAAACTTCAGCTGGCCAAAAAACCTCATGCAAACCTGCCTCAAACTCCTAATTACCAACCCTCTCTCAAGCTGGCCAAACTCCAGCTGGCCAAAAAACCTCATGCAAACCTGCTGGCCAAACTCCAGCTGCCAAAAAACCTCATGCAAACCAAACTCCTACTAACTAACCCTGCAGCTTTGGCCCAGCTCTGCTTCCTTTTTTGCTCTCAGCAGCTGGCTTCTAGCTGGCTGCTACAGGCAGCTGCCTGCTAGGCTTCAGCCACCTCCTTGTGATCTTTCTTTTCATCCACTTCTCCTTCAGGCTCTTCTTTTCCTTCAGGTTCTTCTGTTGGCACATCTTCCAACTGTACTTCCACCTTCTCTTTGGCTGGTTCTTCTACTTTCTCTTGTATCTTCTCTCCTCCCTCTCCCTTTGAATCTTGCAGGGGCAACTTCTCTTTTTTCTCTGGAAACATCTCACTGAGATCTGATCCTACAGGGAGCTTTGCAACACCTACCTGCAAACCTTGGTCGCTCTTGCTGCCTACCTTTTGCATTGCCTTTTTGCTACTGTGGCTGCTGATGTCTCCAAACCTCCTGCCCCCTCCCAGCCAGCCAAGGAGAGAGAGGAAGAGATGAGAGAAGGAAAAGGAAAGGAAAAACAAATACTAAATCAAATGGAAACTGAGTAAATCAGATGGAAATCAAGTCTACAATACTAAATCAAATGGAAACTCAAGTCTACCAATACTAAATCAAAAGCTCCAGCAATACCAAATCAAATGGAAACTCAGCTCCAAATCTCAAAAGGAAGCTCCAGCAATACTAAATCAAATGGAAACACAGCTCCAAATCTCAAAAGGAAGCTCCAGCAATATTAAATCAAATGGAAACTCAAGTCTGCCAATACTAAATCAAATGGAAACTCAGCTCCAAATCTCAAAAGGAAGCTCCAGCAATACTAAATCAAATGGAAACTCAGCTCCAAATCTCAAAAGGAAGCTCCAGCAATACTAAATCAAATGGAAACTCAGCTCCAAATCTCAAAAGGAAGCTCCAGCAATACTAAATCAAATGGAAACTCAAGTCTGCCAATACTAAATCAAATGGAAACTCACTTGAACTGGATCTCAAGATGCTATTCCAGATGCCCCCATCGTTGGGGGGGGGGGGGGACCCCCCTTTACTAATCCCGATTGGACATTACAAAGGATTTCTCCATTTTCGAATGGCTTTCCTTTGAGCGGAAACTGCAAGCACTGTGCCCCAAATGGCAGCTTCGAAATCCCGACCACGAGAAATACCGCCGGTCCTGCGGATTCCGAAGTTGACCACCCAGGATCCACCGTCCCAGCTTGGGGGGCATTCTTCCCCATTTGGTCGGTGGAAGGCAGAAACAAAAGGAAGCTACACGTTTTTGGGGTCAATTTTGAAGACTCAATCCGTGTCCCAAGAAAAATACGGTATGCGTCGGGACCAAGATCGGTGCAAACGGGGGGTTAACTTGAACTGTACATGATGGACCGTTACAGCAATGTAGGAATCCCTTGTATCATTATTTGTACCGCATACGAATGTCACCGTTTGATATCTTTGCTTGTGCATTCCGCAGTGGCTTAAGCAACATTCTCACAGTACGCAACCATGAAATACACGTCAGTCTCCGCGCCTGTCATTCTGACTGCTTGAGTACATATCACTGTACTGTTCTGTTCATCTTACAATGCATCAATCATTCAGTAACCTTTGAGCCCATTTTTGCGCTTCAGGGGGAGTCGGGGGGGGGGGATGGTTCCGTTCTTGATCGTTGAAAACACATCTCATGAGTTCTGTGGAATCATGGTACCTCTACGAAACGGCATTGCTTTCTAACTGAGCAAAGGTTCGTCTTCTTACTGCATTTCAGATGTTTGGACTAAGATCGGTGGACGTGGTCCTTTACATTCCTTCCAAAAATGAAATCACAATTGTTTGACTCAAATCACAATGGAACTGACCACATCCACCGATCTTGGTCCCGACGAAAATATCCCCGCCCGCCATTTCCGATTTAATCGCCTTGCAGCGGTCGCTTTTCTCAAAGCGCTGGATCTCCCAGTACAGCAGCCGCGGCGAGACGCACCCGAAGGCCAGGTACGGCGAGAGCCTCCAAACACATCTGATCAAACGAGCTTTCTGGGTCCCTCAAAAAGACAAGAGTGTGTCTGTCCTTTCGGTTCCTTTCAAACCACACCCAAAGGGTATGCTCAAAAGGCGACACACCTATATGAGGGTGCTTCTGAACGGAACCCCCGCCCCCTGGTTTACACTGTTTTATAGGGAGACCAAGAGGAACCAAACCATCCTCAGGCGTTTACTACAGAGCGAAATCCACTTCGCGCTAGTTAGGCGGTTACTCAAGGGTGTCATCCATCCCCATTGCGAAGAGAATCTCCCTCCATCCTTCCCCCGCGAGCACAAAAGGGTCTATTCTCCGTGGCCCCTTTCCTTAGGGTTTTGGGCTTTTGTTTTTCTTAGTGTGCCTGGGACAGCAGGGACCCAGAAACCTTTCGTGTCTTGATCTTACCCAGTCTATAAAACAAAAGAAACAACACAAACGTGTTTGGCAAACTACAAGCCTTGGTTACTTGTTGGGGGATGCAAACTGATTGTCAACATGCAAGTCGCCACTACCACTACCCCGTTCTAAGGAAGGAACCGTTTGTCAAAACAGTACGCAGTTTCGGACCTTAAAGTCAGTCAGGCGTCCAATCCCGAGAAAGCTTGTGACAAAAGGAAGAAACACGTCGATGTGTTGCTGGTTGAAAGGGAACATCGCTCGGAAAATTCACAAGGCAAAAGTGGGTCCAGAAAAACGAAAGCTGAGTCTGGCAATGGACCAATGTGCAGGCAGGTGACATGCAATATCCATGAAGAGAAAGTCAGCTGAAGTGAGAAAAAGTATGCCTATCTGGCAAAGAATGTTCCTTCGTTCAACAGCAACAGCATCCTCGAGCTAGCCTGCTTTCATTTGAACGCAGAAGTTGAAAGGGTCGGGAAACTCCAAATTGATAACTTGCTTGTTTTTTAGCGGGGAATCAAGAGCCGTTATGACCCGTTTCGGTTCGGGGTCCTGCCTATCTGCGTGCAGCCTTAAAGCCTCTACCGTTTTTGATCCTTTAGCCTCATTGCCATCTGCCATGCAGCTGCCACCTGAAAGAAGGTCTTGAGAGAATTAGAGTTTTGTTCCCATGGAGTGTGTCCTTTCATGTGGTTGCCGAATTAGTCATAGACGAAGGGATATTAACACGATCCTCATGTGAGAAAACCATTGCTAAAAACCTGCTGGTTCATGCTCTTCTTACCAATTTCTCCCCCAGGTTGCCATCATGGACGAATCATGCTGATCTCCCTGCAACCATCGCACAGAGGCTGAACATCGGTTTCCCGGCAAACAAGATTTCAACAGAAAGTTCCCAATCCTTCACAGAACCTCCTCCGGTCGACTTTCCTTGACCACCCTACCCGAGACCCCCGCTTGGAGGTCTGGTCTCGCGGCGCGCCGCACTTGCCCCCTGCAGACCAGTCGGTAGTGCCCACGTACCTGCATGCCCCCGAATAGCCACCTAGCCACATGCCCTGGCATTCCAGCCACTAAACCAAAGTTGATATAACAACCATGGCTTCCCTGGTCTCATCTAAGTTGGGGGCGAGCCTTGTGGCGTATGAGCCATGTTTTAGAGTGCCCCAGACTATGAATATAAACTCAAAAGATCTCAAAAGAAACTCAACCATTTTTGGGGCTGCCCGCAAATGAGCGCAGCCAGATGTCTTTTTCATAGGGGAAAAAACAAGGGCCCCTCCCCCCTCCTCTGGATCCAACCGAAGCTAGGAGGTTGCTGGGTGAATGACCTTGAAAAGATTGCTGTGTCTCAGAGGTGCTTTCTCCTTCTGAGGAGTACATACCCAATGTGAGTTGCAGGGAAAGAGGCAAGGGATACGCACTTCCACTTACAGGAACACCAAAAGGAACTGCTTTTGGGGACCCCGCCCCCCTTTCGGTTTGAAACACCACCAAATGTCTCCCATTGCCACCTCGGCCACAGTGGATGGTGAAACTTCAATCAACTAAAATGGCCTGAAACACCAGGAGCCCAAAACAAAATCGGATTCCGTTTCACATTAGCCTACTCAAAAATTATTAAACCCAAAAATGGCTGAGAGCCTCTCACTGACACCTCAAGGGGAAGATGTTAATGAACGCCGACCTACAGTATGTTGACCTTTTGGTGGGTTGTCGATCGCTTTTTCTTCCTGCACACGTTCTGCATTGGCTCTGTTTCAGAGACAGTATCACCAGTTGGGTGAAAACTACTGTGCGACACATCCGCTTTCCTTGCCTTTTTCAGGTGCGACATCGCAAACGCCCTTCCGCCAGCCGCCACAGCGCTCCTCCTCTGGAACACCACGAAGGCTCGCGTCAACGTGCTGTCCACAGCCAGTCCAGGTCTGCTTGCCACAACCATAGCACTTCACTTTTCGACACATGGCGATGAAGGCAACTGGTCGAAAGTTTCGGAAAGGGCAACAAAGGGGTCACTGTGCAGCTTCTGGACAGCTTGAGCCAAGCGAGAACAGACCAACTCCTCACAGATTTCTGAGCATTGTACGCTGAGCTGGGGTGAACGTAAAATTGTGCGGCCCACCTCTTCCACGGGGCTGCCAAACAGCAGCTGAGTCTTGCATGGCATTCTATGGAACTCATACATCATGACATCTTCAACCAAGCAACTCAGTATACATGCGAAGAAAGCAGGAGAAGCAGTCGCCCAAAACAACATATGCCGTTTTGAAGATTGAGAAGCACACAATTACACTCGCAACAGAGAGAGAGAGAGAGAGAGACAGAGATCCTTTTGCTTTTGTTCGGATTCCAAGAGAGTGTGAATCCCTATTGGAAAATCCATGGCCATCCCTATCAAGTAAAAATAGAAGAGTGTTTTGACCATGGCTGATCAACCAAAATCTGTGGAGTCCCCTGATGTGTGTGTATGTGTGTGCGTGTGGGATGGTTGTTTCATAAGTCCCCCAAGTCCCTTCCAAATAAACCATAGAAGACCGAACATTTACCATGAAAGATACCCTCAGAAAATAAACTCAGAGTGGTCTATCAGGCCTATCCGGTCCCGCTGCTCCTGAACCCTTCCCTGATCCAGTGTGGGTGTGGGCTCACTGACCCAGCAGTCTGTTCAAACCTCCCCAGAACTGGAATAGGAGACTTGAATAGGACACTTGTGGATCCCCAAGAATCTTCATGGTCAGCTCAAACACGCTCGCGAATCGGTGGAATCGATCGCCAAGTCATAGTTTCGGCTGATATGCAGAACGGGGTGAGAAACAGTTATGATATGTGTATAAACGTGTGTGTGTGTGTGTATGAATGCATATGAGGGTTAATGTTCGCATGAAGGCAGAACTGGATATGTTGAAAGCACAGCTGCTTCAGCCCAGGTGCTGCTTCAGCCCTCGCCGCTCCCAAATGTACTGCTGTACCCGAGCCAGAGCGAAGCCTTGGCGGCGGGTTCTTTACGTCGCTGGCAAGAACTCCATCACCTTACGCGTTAGTTTGTTAGTGTTTGCTTTGTTGAGTTGGTTTGGTTTGGCTTCGTTTAGTTTGGCTTCGTTTAGTTTGGCTTAGTTGGCTTCATTTGGTTTGGCTTGCTTCGGTTTCCTTTGGTTTGCCTTCATTAGAGGGTTAAACAAACAAAAAACTGAATTGCGGATGTTAAATAGAGGGTCTGAAAAACATACATACCCGCCTCCTTGTGGTTGCTTCTAGCACCCATAATATTTGCACGCGTAGGTTCACCTGGGTACGTGTCATACAGAGGAACCGAAGCCCCAACATGGCCTTCGGATCCCTTTGGGTTTCCCTTTAGATCAAACTCCTTGGGAGGGTAGCCTCAAAAAACACACAGACATACTCGCGTTTCAGAGATCCAGATCTGGTTTTCAGAGACGTGGGGAAGCCGTGGAAAGTTGATGACCTTTAGTCCCTCATTGCTATTGGGCTGCAATCTCTTTAAAAAAGGGGAATAACATATCCACCATATTGAGAAGCGTATGAAAAGGCGCGGAAGCCGGCCGAGCCGCTCTCGCCGCCTCGCCAGGGCACCGCAGACCTCTCGCCGTCGGAAACGAAAGACTCGTCGAAGCCCAGATCCGGCAAACTCGGCAGGGAGCCTGGCGGTCCAAGGTTCGCCTTCCAAATGGGGACTTGTTCATTTCACCCCAAATTGGGAAAGACAAAAAATGAAGTTGGTTTCCAAAAGTTGGTCTGGAAGCTGGGCTACCCAGAACCACGCAAGGAATTAGAAAGGCGGCTGCACCCATTTATGGTTGGGAGGTGAGTCAGGAGCCTATTCTAAATCCGAAAAAGCGCAAACTTCACAGAACTGCTCCTTGGGATGAATTCTCCAGGGCACTTCTGCCCTTGAGGGGGAAGAACCCTTGTACTGGAAAGCCTTCTCGGACACCGAGGCCCAAACCGCTTTCTGTCAAAGTGGTTGATTCCCATCCCCCTTATAGCCGAGCTGGTTGGTTTCCCCTACACCAAAGGCAACATCAGCAGAAGCTTACCTCACTTACTTGATCCACGGGAACTTTATGTGCTGTCACAAGCCTCTTCTTTTGGTACAATGCTGCATATCCAAGCGAGTATGGACCTGCTGGAGCAGAAGCCTCTCGTTGCCCCTTTCCCCGTTGGTTTACCGTCCCACCATTTTCCCTTGGCCAAACTGCGACAGCCATGGATCCTAACCCGCAAGGACCACTTCCACGCAGGATCTTTGTTGGGAACGAAGCTACCCCTTCAACGACCAAAGCTTGGCCACGGTGTTGTCTAAGCTAACCACCGGGAGATGTTAGGACGTAAAGCTTGAATAGCGACCTGAAGGCGCAAAAGAAACACTCAAATGGCACACACACCCATCAATCAATCAGTCAGGGTGTATACATTCTTCTTTCCACGCCAGGAAAGACACGGATTCCAAGGTGCTGGAATAGGTTCACTGGCAAGTTTGCTCTTGGTTGCTGCTGGTTTCACAGGAAATCAACCTAAAAAAACTTGGCCAAAATGGTATCCCCACCGGCAGAGGACAGACAACTCTTCGGACCGGAGAAGCAATCATGAAAGAGTTGCTGACTTAGGGAGTTGCACCCCGACTAATTACAATTGATCCACCGGATTGATTTATCGGGTCGACACTGCCGACAAGGCTTCTCATGGGCATTGGACTGATTTGGGGTCGGCTGACTTTTTGTTTCCGGCCCCGAGCAAGAAGCAGTTGCAGCACTTGCAAAGACATGGCTTCCTATTTCCCGTTTCAACATCACTCAGGAAGGCGAAGCTCCGACTTGCCCCACTAGAGACTCCTCTGTTAGCTTTCTTTTTTGGATTTGTATGTTCATTTCGAGGCGCCTTTGTGGTTGGTGACTCAAGCAAATAAAGCTTTAGAAAACAGATTTGTACTTCTGCCTTACTCGCAACTGGTGATTGGTGGTTCAGGGTGATTTCCCATTTACCCTCCAAGGCCAGGGGTTCAAATCCCCAAGCCACCAATCCAAGACCAAGGACACCTATGTCTTTGAAGCCGAGTGCAGCTGCGCGGCCCCACTCGACGCCCGAAGCCGGCGGCTTCGTCAGTTGGAGGTGGCCCTCTGGCAGCTTCCACTCCGCGTTGACAGGACGAACCTGGAAATACGGGACAGCCCCCTTCCACACAAAAAATCACCCCAACAAGAAAGTCTTGGTTTCACTTGCACTATTTTGGGAATCTACCGCAGCACGGATACTTCTGGACAAATTACTATAATTCCCAAATGGAAAATATGGGAGCCTGCCAGGAAAGGACCATTGCCGTAGGGCAGAATCAAAAAGCCTCAACCTGTGAAATCATTGTGCCCAACCTTACACTAGGCTCCATTAAAGTAACATCATCTTCAAAATTACCCTCTTTATGGTGGTTTAAAGGGTTTTCGCCCAAAAGTAAGTTTGAGAACCTCTCGGAATGCAAGCACTCGACCCCTTGTACGACACCCCCAAACAAATGGTTTTCCCTTTGGTTTCCCTTGTGGTTGCGGTCCCCCTCAAACAAAAACAGCTCACCACACCCATTTCGAGGGCCCGGTTACTCAAAAGTTCCCTGGAGCCGAGAGCCAAAAGCACTACACTGCCTTGCATGCCGCGATGTCCCGCTTGAAATTCCCGAACCTCGCAGTGGACGTGTCTGGCAGACGTGATAAACAAATGAGCGGAGCAGGGAATCAAGTCAGTTTCGGGGCATTCCTCGGAGTGAAATCCTCCAGACTACCCCGACAACATGCCAGTCACTTCCGACTACCCCGAATCCCTCCCTTCCGACACACTGTTCATAAGCGTTCCACTCACTTCAGAGAAAATCATGCGCAGACCCCGGACACGACTGGGACCCCGAATGGTTCAGAAGTTCAGAAGCTCCAAAAATGACATCGGGTTCCTTCAGAGTGCTCTGTTATGCTTGTGTTTGACGGAAGCCCTTCAGGAATAACTGCCAAGGGGGTTGCCCATGTCTACCCAAATTGGCTTCAGTGCCGGCCTGTCATAAACTAATCGTTTGCTTCACTTCAAGTCAGGAAAATGTAAGTGCTCTATGTATGAGGAAAGTATAGATCTCCACGTAAATCATGTTCACCAAAAGATTTCCAATTGGAATTGGCGGAAAAGGACACTGGTCTACCAGCTGCCTCCTGGGGTAGGGTAAGAATTGGCAACAATTGAAGGTGTTCCGATTGAAACGTGCAATGTTTACGTGAGAAAAAAAAGTGCCATCTTCATTCGTCACCTGTGAGCGTCCATGTCGAGGTCGCTTGCAACTAGAAACACCCTTAACACGGACGATTACACAAAAAACTCCAGGGACAGTACAGTAGGTTGGTATTGGAGGTACATGCGAACTTCATAGTCAACCGCAAACCCCGAAACCCCCTCATGGCAACACCTGAACCTAATGACTCCATGTGGGAGGCACATCGCTTCTTTGGCCTGCTTTGTCACTTGAGCTCGGGCCCGCGCGACAAATAGGGAGTGATCCAGCGCTCCGGCGCTTTGCCACACGCCTGGCATCGTCAACAGAAAGGCCGCTCGGTATCGTGTCCCTACTGTGGGAGTTAAGATGGGTGGACAATGAACGGAAGCTACACACGTTTATATGAGGTACGATTCTGGGGGGGGAAAGTAACTATAGACTATGATTGTCTTCATGACTGAATGAGATGTTCAAAGGACTGCACAAACCCAAAAGTATGTTGATCCACCTACCAACTATCGGCTTGATTCTCGATGACTCGATGACCATGGAACCCAAGGGCATCTCGCCCAGAGTTGGCAAAAGCGCAAATGGACACTCAACGCCTTTGATTTTCCTTTGCTACATGAAACCCCAAGACCCGAATCTCCAGTTCCAATGGCCATTTTATCAAGGACAGCCCAATGGCTATTTTATCAAGGCCACCCTCCTGTGGGCTGTACTGACTTGAAGGGTGATGACTGCTTGATTTTTGGGTGAGGTGACGCAACGTGAACTCTTCGTAGCCTCTCACGACATCAGCGGACCTACTCGAACGAGCGATTGGGCCCGCTCCTGTTTTGAGTGGAAAAGCGGGACATGCAGACAACATCTCCCTTGTCCAGCCGCCTCGAGGTCATCAATGTGGTGCAGTGTGTAGCCCCAGCACCTCAGGGCCAGGCCAAATGTGCTTGAGCCACACAAGGACGCTGATCGCGTGGTACCCTTCAAAGAGCAACCAAAGGCGTTGCAGGAACAGCTGGGTGCCAAGCAGGGGGCTACCCCGTTTGGTCACTCAGGGGATAGCAAACAATCAACAAGATCCACTTCGCACCAGTTGGGATAGATAAAGCCCTGCACATTGCTGATAAACCAGCAATCCCTGCCGATTTTGCTTGGTCCATCCACAGCCACTTCCGCAAAAAGAAGCATTGCTTGCCCAAATCTTTCAATGGGCTTGGATGGGCCTGGCGGGTACGCGTCTCAATTGGGGCTTGCTGAAGGCCCCCTATGGGCACTCCGCTCAAGGCGCGTAGCTGCACCCCAATGGGCACCCATATGGGAAGACGTTGTTTGCTAAAATACGGGTCCCATAGAATCATAGAATGGTGTACTTTTGGCTTCTCTTTGAATATCAACCAGACAGAAGACCCCCCATTTTGAAGAAACTCTCATAGCAATCCTGCAGCTCGCTCTGCCGCGAATGCTCCCTTCAAAAACATATCCCCTGCATTAACATTGCTCTTGTGTTGTTTCTGGAGAAGCACAGTGCATTAGCTAGGAAAGCCCCAAACTTCCCAGCTTTGCGTGACAAAATGACTTGTTTGCCCAAGAGGACGTGGGACATTTGGGGTCTCGCATGTTCCTCGACCCGACTTCACATGACCCCAAAGCTTCTGGTTTCCTCCCCCATCGGCTTCCTTAAGGCAGGCACCTCACCACTTGCCCAGCTCCACCAGTGACTTCCCTGGGCGAGCATGCGATGCACTGCGATGGGCTCATGGGGGAAACACCCAGAAGAATGATTTCCTGTTGAGTCAGGGCAACTCGCAGACTCCGAAAAACTAGGCCCAACCCCTGGAACTCTTGAACCCGAAAACGCCCGCATTCCCTGGAGACTGGCATGAGACTATCTCAGAGACCCCATTGATTTCAGCTAGCCAAAAAAGAGTCTTCCCGGGCCTCAGCGCCACTTCCATCTCCGCCTCTAGCTGCAACTCTTCGGAGCAGACCTCACACGGAGGGGGGGGCTGGGCAGAAACTCCGCGTGATACTGACATGCGGTTCAAAAAGTTGGGTTAAACGGATGTTGATTGTCAAACTGAAACAAGACCGCAAAGTTGTGAAAAGGAGGAGAACAAAATGTCTTGGAAGCATCTGGGCAAAATTCCTCTATTCCAAAATCCAGAAAAAGCAACCTCCCCAGAAAAGGATGTTCATCGTGGGTGAGCTCGTTTTACCGCAAGTGAGCTCGTTAGAATTTGTCCAAATGTATCCCAAGAATCAGCCCTATTAAATAAGGAGCGGCCCAACTCGGCGTGAACAAACGGATGACTGACAGTTCCGAAGCTTACAGTTCGAAGGAAGGAGACTAGAGCGGGTCCTGTCAGCAGTGGCCTGGGGATCAGAGTTGGTACCGTTTTCTTGGTAGTTCACTGGAAACAAGTTGCAAAAGAGCACCACTCAAGGCCTGGGAATTGCTACCAGTCTCGTAGACCCTTCACGAACGGGCTCCTGCCTCAAATGACTCCGCGCTGTGCGAAAAACCCTTCCTCGAACTTGAGGCCTTTGTCATTTGAGGTCTTGGGAAAATCTCATCCCCTCCAACTCTGCTGGTTGCTTTTTGTTCCCTGGCTTCAGTTTCTGTATCCTTTCAGGGACCCAAAAACACTGTCCCAGCTGACCTCCTTTCAGGGACACTGCTCACGGACCCGCCTCTTGGAAGACGAAAACCTGGCAGATCTCCAGGTGCTGCGACAGCTGGCGTAGCGCATCGGCCGCCGACATGCCTCTCCGAGGCTAGCAGCCCAGGGAAACTTGGTTCGTTTCTGAGGGAAACTTGGTCCAGAACCTGAGTAGGAATGACCCCAAACTAGCGTGAGTCTGGTTTCTTGTTGTTTCCACCCGCAAATGACTACCTGGGGATAACTCATAACATCGTGTCGGGTGCTTTGCGGTATGCCCCCATCCATTTGCCTTGGGGGAGTGATCCCCTGAGTGTGGTTTGGGGGTAGCGAAGTGCAGATCTAGAGAAGTCCTCCTCCCCCCACTGGATGTCCTGCCGTCGCTTCGGCATCTTTCAAAAGATCGCACCAATGGAAAACTTCCCCGCCAAACCGATTATGGAGGTTCCACATCCCGAGTGCGGAATACCCTCCCCAAAATGATTTGGTGAACAACATAAAATCCGACTCCAATTTTCAATTACCCTGCAAGTTGACATGGAACCATTTCAGACCAGAGTGGGCCCCCCAACCAGAATGCGTGGAGTTTCTCTATGTCCAAACGCCATCAAACCACCAAACTGGGAGACAAATGCGTTGATATCACAAGCAGCTCAGCTGCTTTCCGGAAAACCTTGCGTTCCCCCAACTGAAACTGGTGTAGGACCATTGGGTTTCCCTTGGTGTTCGAAAAAAAAGAAACGTGCCCCTGGAGGCTCACGAATGAACATGCAACCCAACAAACACGTTGCGAAACACACCAAACATCACCACGGGTCTCAACAAGGCCAGTCGAGGCGCCGTGCCGCAGGAAGAGCTTTTGGCCTCTCTGTTCCAGAGAGAGCTTGAGGTCTGCCACGCACTCCCGCCAGAACCTGTGAACAAGATCCCAGCTATGGGAGCTTCTCAAAATCCTGGTTCTTCCTGTTGGTTGCCCTTTTAACCAACCTGAAAACGGTATCGACAGGACCTCTCAAAATGTCCCCCTTTGGTCGTTGTAAAAGCTTGGGCCCTTCCAGTGGGTTCGAATCTAATATGCAAATGCAATAGATGAATACCCCAGAACCGACGACCCATTGACTGTAGGACTGTTCAAAGCACTTTATTTCGGGCAAGAACACCCATGTTTGCGACAGGGGTGAATCACACATGTTTCCCACAGCCTCGTGTAAGGGTTGATTCCCCATTCTCTTCATTCATCCATCGTTGTTATGTTCAGAAATCCTAAGATGGTTGCCTTTTGTATGAGGAAATATATGCCCTGATGCTGACCCCGGTTAAAGGGCATTGAAGGGAGGGATTGAGACAAATTCCACCAGTCAATCCCGGGTTTCTCAACATATTTCAGGGACCAAATCGCACCCCACGGAACAAGACCATGCGGGACACGATTTCAAGAGAGCAACTGGAAGGATCCAGTCACCCTGGATCTGGGCACCATGTGCAAGCAACTGAGCTACAGGGTCCCACTATAGTTCCATATTTCTGTTTGGGAGGGCAACCCAAAAGAATAACTATGTCCGTTGGGAGACAGTCAGAGACCCTGAATTCGGCAACCAGCCCGGCATCCGGATTCCAGCTTTCAAGGGAATGGGTCGGGGTGTCGCTCTTTCTTTGTCCGAATAGTAGATCTTTGAGAGTACCATTTTGCAAGGTTTTTTGAGCAACAGCAGCCACATGTACCTCGAGTCTCCAAGACGCCCAGAACCTTTGAAGATTTGGTCATGTCTCATGCCCCTAAATTTTCAGTCTACCTTTCTTTGAGGTTCATAAAGACTGTAGGTAGTCATTTACTAGAGCTTCTCCGATTTTGGCTTTGCTCGTCGCCCTAACCTGCCTCGCCCTGACCGCCCCAGTCTTTGGGAAGCCACCCACTCGCGTCCGCCCGAACCAGAACTTCTCCTCAGCACCCCACGGTGTGCCTCTGCATGCGCATCCGTGCATGTCACTACATTAACGTCTGTGCCTGTGCCTGCATCTCTATGTCTGAGTCTCTGTGTGTGTGTCCCAAGAGTCTGTCAGTGTGTGTGTGTGTGTGTGTGTGTGTGTGTGTGTGTGTGTGTGTGTGTGTGTGTGTGTGTGTGTGTGTGTGTGTGTGTGTGTGTGTGTGTGTGTGTTGTGTGTGTGTGTGTTGTGTGTGTGTGTGGTGTGTGTGGTGTGGTGTGTGTGTGTGTGTGTGTGTGTGTGTGTGTGTGTGTGTGTGTGTGTGTGTGTGTGTGTGTGTGTGTGTGTGTGTGGGAGTGTGTGTGTGTGTGTGTGTGTGTGTGTGTGTGTGTGTGTGTGTGTGTGTGTGTGTGTGTGTGTGTGTGTGTGTGTGTGTTAGTGTGTGTGTGTGAGTGTGTGTGTGTGTGTGTGTGTGTGTGTGTGTGTGTGTGTGTGTGTGTGTGTGTGTGTGTGTGTGTGTGTGTGTGTGTGTGTGGTGTGTGTTGTGTGTGTGTGTGTGTGTGTGTGTGTGTGTGTGTGTGTGTGTGTGTGTGTGTGTGTGTGTGTGTGTGTGTGTGTGTGTGTGTGTGTGTGTGTGTGTGTGTGTGTGTGTGTGTGTGTGTGTGTGTGTGTGTGTGTGTGT